TAAGCTCCCCACCCTGTGAATGCCAAAAGCAAAGGTTGTAAAGAGATCAGTTGTCACTTTCCATTCTCCAGCTCCCTCCCACAGTGCCTGCTAATAGCTCCAGTGGATGAGGTCGGTGTCCATTCTCCTCCTCTCCCCGCCCTTCACGGCAAAAGGCTTTGTACACAGTTTGTACCAGTTTAAGGGCTTCTCCATACTTAAAGAGAATTTTGATGAGGGTAGGGTAAGAATTTAAAGTGCAACAGCTACACTAAAATAAATTCATGCATGGACATTCCAATTCCAGAATAAGAACATTTTATTCTTGTTGAGTGCAATGGATTAAGCTAGACAGGAGCAAAAACACTTAACCCTATAAATAGCTATTCCAGAATATCTTGGTAGGCAAACAGGCCCCAAGGTTAACTAAAATCAACTTTAAAAATCAAACACTGATAAACTGGATTACAGACTAATAAAATATAGCCCACCAGGAAGGGTTTGCCCCAGTTAAACTCTTGGCTTAATTTAAACTAATTTTAGTTAACTGATGTAAGTTGTGTAGATAAGCCTGCAAGGTGGCAAGGCAATGGCACTGAAGTTTAACTACAGCAACTTCCAACATAAGAGCCAATCTAAACTCAAACTGACGGAGTTGTGACCTATAGCTCCAAATCAAAACTTTGCAAATGGGCTCTACAGCAGCCTTATTTCCAGGCTAATGCTCCATGAAAGCAGACTCCTAGGAAAAAGGAGGTGCTGTTGGTGCTCTATTATGGACCCAATACAAGTGTTTTGTGGGCTGTATTTTCCAGACACCACGCACATATAAATCTCCATGAGACCCTTCTAAAGTAGGCCAGAACTATGTTCTAGTGGAGGGGAAGGGGACTCCAGAGAACAAGATGGTCTTCAAGTCTGTGGCAAAGAACAGAACTCAGTTCTTCTTTACAGTCCCAGCTGACAGCGCTTATTCCCACTTTATAGAAGACTATACAAGAACCATTTGTCATTGCTACCATTAGAAATTTAACCCACTCTTCTACCAGCTAGATTAGCAAGTTTTCACACAAAGTAACATAGTATCTCACCAAGTGATTTTTACATTCCCCCCCCCCCCACTACAGTGGTTTCTAAACCAAAAGATTAAATTTTTATTGATGAAATGCAGATTATCCAAAATTAAACACCTGATCAAAACTACTGTTTTTAAGCAAACTTCTAGGTTCGCACGGGTAGCATGTAGGGAGGCGCTGCTACTGCAGTCAGCAGCGATACTGGTACAGGAGCCAGAG